CTTCATCACCAAGGACAGTTGGCAATTTGACAATGACCAAATTTATAATATAGTCTAAAATAATTGAAGATGAAAATTAAAAAAATTGTGATATCGAGCTCCAAGGATAGCTGGCATGGACCGGTCAATAATGAACCTACCGTCGTGGGTGCTGTTAATGTATGTTAGAAAGTTATAATAAAACCTCAAGTGAAGTAGCAAGCATGATATGTGGATCTTCTATTATGATTGATTAAAGAAAAGAAAAAAAGAAGAAGGTGGAGATGGGGTTGCCTTTATATACACATAAATTGATATCTGTAAGTTTGTCTGTGTGATTGTGTTAGCTTAGTGCCTAAGTATCCTCTTCCTTCAAATTCCTTTTCTTCCTTCTTTTTTAATTTGATAAAAAGAAAATCATGTCTTATGCACTCAATAAGATTTCTCACTTACGAATCCCATATGAAGATCATATCGAATCGGCTACCGATGACATGGATGATGAAAATATCATTAGCGAAAATGACGAATGTGTAAGTTACAGAGGACAACTTTTGTGGTCCGGAGAGTTGATCGATATAGTTGCACAAGAATATGATCGTCATCTTTCGGAAGGAATCTCCAAGTTCGAGGCCAATGCTTTAATACTTTCTGGTCTGAAGCATAAAAATATTGTCTCTTTTGTTGGGTTCTGTGAGGATCCATACTGGGTTATCATCGTAACCAAGTATGAGGTCAACAAAAGTCTCGATATGTATTTAAGTGACTCAAGAAGCCTCTCATGGATGAAAAGATTGCAGATATGTGTTGGTGTTGCGCATGGATTGAGCTACCTTCATTACGAGGAGGGGCGTGATTATAGTGTCATACATTGCAACATCAAAAGCTCTTCAATTCTGTTAGATGAAAACTGGGAGCCCAAAATAACTTTTTTTGGAAATTCTATAAGGACTCCAGTAGCTCAAAGGCATCGTCTTCTCCATGCTAAACATTCTGGTACAGTAGGATATATGGACGCAATATATGAAAAGACTAAAGGTGTGACCCACAAGGTGGATGTATTCTCCTTCGGCGTGGTCCTATTTGAAGTTTTGTTTGGGTGGGAAGCATCAAGTCCGAATGAGGAGAACGAGTCATTAGTACAATCGGCAAAATTCCATTATGAAAAGGGAACACTGGAAGATATGATTAGTACTGATCTAAGGGAAGAAATGGATGACCAATCATTCAACATTTTCTCAGAAACAGCATATTGTTGTTTGAAAGAGCAGCGAGCACAACGCCCAAATATGGATCAAATTGTCAAACGTCTAGAGAAAGCGTTGGAACTTCAAAAGAAATTCGAAAATCATGTAAGACCTTCTGGTTTTTATATTTACTTTCGTTCAGTTCTATCTCACACAATATTTTATATGTTCCTTATATATTTATATGTTTATTTATCTCAAATTGTTGCAATCGATATTTAAAGGAACATTCAAGAGATGCAAGTGAAGGTACATCGATGGATCGGTTGAAGGTAATTAATTTCTTTTGGTTTAACTAAAATAATTAAAATATTTCTTTTCAACCTACTTAAAGAGTTAAAGTGATGCATGGAACCCTATAGCATCAACCAAAACGGATATTTGACAATCTGGTCCGGGCTGATTAAAAGATCCAATTGGCGCAACCGTCCTTCTTACTGGTGCATGCAACAGTCCTACCCGGTCGGTGCACCGAAGACCGAAAACCCGAAACCCAAAATTCTTGAATTACATTAAACGAAAACCGGACCAATTTAGGTGTGTGTTGGTTCAGGCTCCGGATCCCAAACCGGGTTCGGTCCAAACCCGGATCCCAAACCGGGTTCGGTTTTTGGACCGAATTAGACTATTTGTTGGGCTAAATATTTGTTGGACCATTTATTTGGGCTTCATATAACTTGCTGGACGCTTCAACATAATTCTGATTTGCTACCATCATATATCCCTTTGTCCCTTCAACTTAATAAATGGTATTAATTGGATATGATATGGAATATGATAGTATTATTTTTGTAGCCTACACTTATGTGACTAGAGCATTTTTTACCAAGTAAGATTTATGCATCCAAGTGCTAAAATAGTATTGTGTAATATTTATTTTACCCGTTTTGATTTATTAGCCCTTATAGCATACCAAATTTTACATGCATGTAATAAGCTGTAACAAAGGGATAATGATTTAAAAATGTAATATATTTTTCGATTTGTATACATTTGGTCACTGAGTTTTTTTTTCGTCCACATTTACCCCTTCAACTTGTTAAACTGTACACATTCAGTCCTTATGATCGGCTATTCCAGGTTAGCCGGTAAAAATGACTTAATAGGGTAATATATTTCTCACTTTGTACACATTTAGTCCTTAATATTTTTGTACACATTTAGTCTTTAATATTTTTTTTGCAAAATAAGTCATTTTTGTTTTTGTACTTATTCAGTACTTATGAATGATTTCTTAAGGTTTTTCTCATTACATCTTACGTGAGATAATCATTAATGAGGTGTTTGGGGCTTTTGATGTTTATGTCGATCGTGATCTCGACTATTTGGTTGCTTAGGTCATGTGTTCTGAACGTCATAACTTCTTCATACGATCTCAGATTTTAACGATCTTTATATCCATTCGTTCGTATTTTAGTCTACTACAATTTTCGTTTAAATTACTCCCGTTAAAAAGTAATATATTTTTACTTACGATATTTATATCCATACGTTTTTTATAAATGCATGTATGACTGTTTTTTTTTAATAAAATCGTAAGTAAAAATATATTACATTTTAACGGGAGTAATCTTAACGAAAGTTGTAGTAGACTAAAAAACGAATACGTGGATATAAAGACCGTTAAAATCTGATATCGTATGAAGAAGTTACAATGTTCAGAATACAAGACCTAAGCCAAACCACAAGACCTACGCAACCAAACAGTCGAGATCGCGATGGACATAAACATCAACAACCCAAAACACCTCATCAATGATTGTCCCACATAAAATGTTGTGAGAAAGGCCTAAAGAAATCATTCATAAGTATTTAATGTGTATAAAAAACAAAAAAGACTTATTTTGAAACAAAAAAATACTAAGGAGCAAATGTGCACAAAAATAATAAGGACTAAATGCGAACAAAATGATAAATATATTACCCTATTAAGTCATTTTTCCCGGCTAACGTAGAGTAACCGGTCATAAGGACTGAATGTGTACAGTTTAACAAGCTCAATGGGTAATGTGGACGAAAAAAAACTCAGTAAATAAATATGTAGAAATCAAAAAATATATTACCCTTTTAAGTCATTATCTCTGTAACAAATTCAAAAAATAAAAAAATAATAATAAAAAAAAATTAAACGTAAACTTAACATTTTTAGACATATCTTACACAGTCCCGAATTTTCAATATTTTCAAGATTGCTATATACAATATATCTATTATTCAATCGACTTTGTGGTGCCAACTTCCAAGCAATAATTAATCAGTATAAATGTATATCTATTAAAATATAATGAATCAACAACTTTGTGGTGCAAAGCAATACAACTGATACTAATTTACAAAACATAGTCAATATATACACATATTCAACATTGTCCACGATGGAGACGGCGACTGTTCATCAACCTTTTTTATTTTAAAATGAGGTGCATTGATTGTCATCTTAAGCTGCACTATAAATGGATGTGGATACGATTGCCAAACAAACACAACTAAGAAAAAACACTCATTGACATGGATATCTTCACTTTCTTCCCTTCATGGATTTTTTCAACAGTATCATTTCTTTCTTTTCTTGAGTCTTCATATATTATCTGTTAGAAATTTGGGGTATAATAGCACTTGGAAATCTGAGAATCATGAATATCACTTTCAGATTGAAGTATTTGAGTGGTACTCCCAATCTTTAAACGGATAAAACTCAGAAATGAGAGAACAGAACAAAGAATGATTTGATATGATTTTCACGAGTACCATAAAATGAAAACCAAAATTGCTTAAGTACCTTTTCCATCAGAAAACTGTCAACAAGACAGTTGTATGTCTGAAAAACTGTCACTAAAATAGCTCGACCCCCCTGGCTGCCCCTTAGACCCCGCTCCCAGGGGTGCTGCCCCCGGACCCCCGTTCGTTTAGGGGCTTCACCCCTAAATGACGGTCTACTTTGAATATCGAATAAACTTAAACAAGTGTGCACTCTGCATCTTCCTTACTTGTTTAATATTCATCAAGATTGATTTTGGTCAACAAGTCAATCTATTACACTCAAATACATATTGATGATACAAATCACCAACATTATTGTAACACCCATAAAATTCAAGCCAATTTAAAACTTTTTAAAACATTTCAAAACACGTGATTATTACAAACTTGTTTTCAAAATAGTATATTGTCAGAGTATCCCATGATTAAATCATAAAATCATAAAATGTGAGGAGCGGTACGATCACGCCTTTGCCTTCCCGCGATCATCAGAAGTACCTGAAACAATAATCGATAAATGTAAGCTCGAAGGCTTAGTGAGTTACCCCCAAAATACCAACGCCATACAGATATAATCATATCATATAAACATATAATCAAACAATATAGCATGCGTAATGAGCCATCAGTCTGACTGAACCGAATCCCGGTCCTCAGTCTATCTGGACCGCTCTCCAAGCCCTCGGCACGTCTGGACCGCCCTCCTCGGGGTCTTCAGCCTATCCGGACTGCTCGCTGGGCCTTCGGCCTGACTAGATTTGCCCGGCCCGGGCCTGCAGTCTACCCGGTCCGCCCAGGGTGTCTTGGCCTACTGCACACAGCAAGACCTGCCTCAACCCTTTCCCCAAACCAACAAACATGTGCACATACATATAAACAAGTAAACATGTAGATCTAACCGATCAATAACATAGCAACCATCCTATAACCAGGATACCAATCTAACCGATCTCTAGCATAGCAACCATCCTAAACCAGGATGAAATCTAACATAGTAACCATCTTAAACCAGGATCAAATCTAACATAGCAACCTTCCTAAACCAGGAAGTAAATCATAAAGGGTCGGCCTTGGTGTCGTAGACCCTGTTGATATAGTGAGGAGAACTCACCTCTCAAGTGTCGTCTGAAACTAGAAAGCTCAACTCCCGGATCACCAACACGAACTCCACCACCTATAGTTACCATACAACCATTTTTCATAAATTTCCAAATTACCATAATATCCTCAGAAGTCAACTGGTCAACCCTTGGTCAAAGTCAAAGTCCAAAGTCAAAGTCAACAGTCCATGTTGACTCGACTCGTCGAGTGCAGTTCACCGACTCGTCGAGTTCTTCCTGAACTCGAGAAGTGGTGAAATCCTAGGTTGACTCGTCGAGTTTGTTTATAACTCGTCGAGTTCATACATGTCCGAAGGTTGAGGGAAACCCTAGCCGACTCGCCGAGTCAGTCGACTGACTCGTCGAGCCCAAGGCAATCTTCATCGGACTCGCCGAGTTGTTCATCAACTCGACGAGTTCATGGCCATCTTCATATGACTCGCCGAGTTGACTATGCAACTCGCCGAGTCCTTGCAAACCTTCATCCATGCAGACACTTTTTAAGCCATGCCAAGGTTCCAGATCACAGATCCAAGCTTCTAAGGCATGTTTATCACGTAAAGTTGCAATCTTTACATGAATGCAAGGCCCTAAAGGTTCTAAATGACCAATCTAAGCTTCTAATGGAGCTTTACACCTTAGGAGAGTCTCATCCTTGCAAGAGCTGGTAACTTTATGGACTTAGGACTCAAAAGAGGTTCAGATCTGAAGTTTCAACTTCAGATCTAGCTCCCATACCA